CAGTCAGACCGATGATGTTGTACTTGATCTTTCACACTTGTACCATCAGGTCCTTGTTGGATGCATCCGACGCCAGCGTACGTTCATTGAAAGTACAGACAGTCATTTTTGTCCTTCATTTGGGCAGCTTAATTCGGCCTTGAGATTTTATCAGCTTCTCCTTCCTCATCCTTAAGGCTGCCGTATTGGTGGCTCTTTCAGGGTCAGGGGAATGAGACCCATTGTATTTACTGGTTTTGCCATGTCAAATACGCCATGAATAGCTTGCCAGGCTCTGCCGTGTGGGTGGGATATTCTCAGTAGCTTGCCAGGCTCTCCGAGAGGGATAGAGGCTTTTAGGGCAGCCTCTAATCGCCCTTATAGGTGTTCCCATGGTTCAAATCATATTTGAACCCTATCAAATATGGTGTGTTAATCTTGGAAGATGGGTATTAAGTGTCTTATGACGTGTCGGCAGTTTCTATCTTCATTGTCTACACACCAATATTCAATTATGATGAAGGAGAAATTGAGAAGTTCTACATGGAGCTGGAGAGTTCTATAAAGAAGACCATACCTTCTACAAGATCATTGTCGGTGATTTTAATGCCAAGATAGGACTGAGAAGAGCAGCCGAAGAACTCCACATTGGGACCCATGGCCTAGAATGGAACAAACAGGGTGAGAGATTGTCTGAGTTCATCATGTTGACCAAGACCATCCATGGTAACTCACAGTTCCAGAAGGCCGAATCTAAACGTTGGACATGGGAGTCTCCCATCAGATGGTTCCACAATGAAATTGACCACATCATATTCAATCGATGGTTTTGCCTGACTGATGTCGCTATTGTCCCAAAATTCCAAATGGGATCGAACCACCGTCTCCTTCATGCAAAATTCTACTTCACAGAGCAGGAAGAAAGGGCTGCAAAGTTTAAGACGAGAACTCCCAGAACAACCACCAACTGGGAGCTCTTTGGCACTATTGCGGGAACATGGAAAGATGCCCACATTGACAACATTGACGAGGAATATGATCAGCAACTCCATGATTGTGTGAGGAACACCGAGAGAAAGATAGCCACAAAAAAAAAAAAAACGCCTGTCTTCAAAAAGTCTTGAGCTCTTTCGCCAACGTGGCTTGGCACAAGCCTCAGGCAATTGTAAGCGAACGTCCAAGCTCACAAAGCAGTGCAGAGATGCGATCAAGGAAGACCTCAAAGAGAGAAGTGCAGCAGTGCTGGCAGATGCAGCAGAAGCCAGAAAAAGCATTCGCAACGCCCGCCTGTCCTTCTACAAGCCCAAGATGACTGCCCTCCAATGTCCTGATGGACCTATCACATTTTCCAGAAGGGCAATGGAGAAGATTATCCATGACTTCTACTCAGATCTCTTCGATAGCCACGTCCACCTGCCCACATACCAAATTCTGCAGGATGGATATGTCATTCCCAATGTTCTCCCTTCCGAAATCTGACACGCCATTTTGTCAGTAAAGAACTGAACAGCACCCGGACCAGACAAGGTCAGACCCGAACACCTGAAGAAACTGCCGCCAGTTCTCATCAATACACTGGCTCAGCTCTTCACACGCTACTGTCTGAATGCAAGGTTCTGTCCCAGTGAAAAACTAGCAGGACTGTACTACTGTACAAGAAGGGAGACATCCACGACATTGGCAACTATTGCCCGATCTGCCTATTGTCTGTCATCTACAAGCTGTTCACTAGAGTCATCCTGAATAGGATTGGCAGAACACTAGATGAAGGACAACCATGCGAGCAAGCCGGGTTCCGCAAAGGATTCAGCACCATCGACCATATCCACACGATAACCAAGATCATTGAGGTTTCTCGGGAGTTCAAGATGCCGCTCTGTCTAACGTTCATTGATTTAAAGACGGCCTGAAGCGGTCATCAAAGCTCCAGCCAAACAGGGCGTTCAAACTCAATACATCAGGATCCTCCATGAGTTGTATTACAGTTTCACTACCAGGATCTCACCATTCTACAAGGAAGTGATCATCCATGTCAAGAGAGGGGTTCGGCATTGAAACCATTTCAGTGAAACTCTTCAGTGCCACCCTCGAGAACGTCAAGCGACGACTGGAATGGGAAGGAATGGGCTTTTTCGTCCCCCAAGCTGAGCTGGTCTTCTCCCCACCCAGGTCAGTTTATCTGCCGCTTCTCGAACCCAGGACTTGGATTTCACCCTGCAAGCCCCCCAGATGTCCTCTTGGACCTTGGAAGACAAAGCACCTCTGAGCTTCTCTGCCTCTTCCTTTTCGACCCCCAAGCTGAGCTCGTCTTCTCCCCCTCCTAGTCTTTACTCCCCCCACAAACACCAGGTACCCATGGGGGTGTGGCCTATTTAGAAGTGGGCGTGGCTTCTGTAAAGTGGGCGTGGTTTAATTTTAGGCGGGCCAATGCTCACGCGGCCGCAGGTAGTTTACTCATACCAAGAAATCTAGTCCCTACATTTACACACCAACATGAAGAAACAACACAAATCCCCACCACAGGGAGAGGATGATGAAAAGAGTCCAGACGCCTCAGTAGGTGCTCTTCACCTAAGGGACCTCTCTGACAAAGAATTCAGATATGAAGTGATAAAGATGTTCAATGAACTCAATGAAACAGTCAGACAGATATCCAGTAAATTGAAAGAAGACGTGAAAGAAACAATGGATCGCACAATCGGGAAGGAATGGGAGTGAAGATAGATGGTCGGCAACTACACCACCTCCGCTTTGCTCATGACATTGTTCTAATAACACCAAACATTAGCCAAGCGGCACAAATGCTGGCCGACTTCGACCGTGAGTGTGGAAAGGTAAGACTACAGCTGAATCTTACGAAGACAATGTTTATGAGAAACAGCCTCATTCCTGACGCCCCATTCACTCTCAATGGAACGACCATCTCTGAATGCAACAGTTATGTGTACCTAGGTCGAGAGGTCAACATGACGAATAACCTGGCACCTGAGCTGCGCAGGAGGAAGAGAGCAGCTTGGAACGCCTTTAAGAGCGTCGAAGAAATAGCTAAGAGGACAAAGAACCTCCAGCTCCGGGCACATCTCTTTGATTCCACTGTTCTTCCTGCATTAACATACGTCTCAGAGACCCGGACCCTACAAAAACAGGATGAGAACGCTATTCGGGTCTCCCAAAGAGGAATTGAAAGAGCTATGCTTGGAGTGTCACATTTCACTCAAATAAGAGAAAGAATCAGGAGTTCAGACCTCTGTCAACGCTCAAGAATCAGGGACTCTGTCTCGTTTGCCAAGGTGTCAAAAATAAGTAGGGCTGGACACGTAATGAGATTTGGAGATGACCGCTGGACTAGAGCCATTACCGACTGGACTCCACTGTATGTCAAAAGAACACGTGGTGCCCACCTATGAGATGGTCAGACTTCTTCTTCAAGACCTGAATGATCAGTTTGAGGCTCTCGTGTTCCTAGAATGAGCAGACGCCATTGGGCTACACTAGCACATGACAGGGATGCATGGAGATGTTACTGGCTCCCACTCAAGCGAAACGATGGGTAACGAGATGTCAAGTGATCAAGTGATCAAGTGATTATATATTATACACACACACACACACACATATATATATATATATATATATATATATATATATAATGATCATCAATACTTTGCCAGCTGGTTGGGTGGCATGTCTGTGCCAGAGGTCACTACGTGACTGGACTTCATGGTCCTGATGCCCGCAGGTGCCGTGCTATCTGAAGCAGCTGTGTTTCCTGAGGGGCCCTTGGCCAGCCATGATGGGGTTCAATTCTCTGCTTGTGGGACACCCCCAAGGACCGAACCGGGGTCTTCCTTCCAAGACCCCCAGGCCTCCGCAGGGTGGTCTAAGCCAAAGCCCCTGACCGTGTAGAGGGGGAAGCTCCAAGGTGCGTTCTAGAACCCGGGCACGGCCTCTCTGCTTTCTCCCCCGCCCCTTTCTCTGCTGCCCCTACACCAAGCAGGAATCGATTAGAAAACCCCCCAGTGACACATGCCGTCCCCACTGGCGTCCACACCAGCTGAGCGCTGGTCACCAAGCTCAGGGCCTGGTGTCAGAGCTCTGGGTGTGACAGCTATGCTTTGTCCGGGTGGCGCCCCACGGGTGAGATTCTGCACAGAGCACACGGCCCTGGAGGCTGCAGGGTGGGACTAAGTGGCTCAGCCGACCCCAGCTGGAATCTCGAGGCTGGATGGTGTCCCGGGTACGTGGCCATGGAGGGACCTGCCCACCTGAGGCCGCAGACGGGAGAGCCGGGAGCGGGACCCTCGTCCTTCCTGGGGGAGCGGCTCTCACCCCCACCCGCGAGGCCCTGGGCTTCCTGTGGCTGAGCGACCACACCCACAGGCTGTTGCTCCTCTGTGCGCGGGTGCAGGGTCCCAGGATCTCGTGTTCATCCTGCCCCTGGCTTGGTCCACTCAGCCCGGCACCCTGCAGGTCCCCCGACACTGCCCCTGGCTTTATTGCTCCGGAGCCTGTGCAGTGCATTGGGCGTGCAGATACACCACTACTTCTTACCATCTCCACTGTGGCCGGACACCCGGGGTCTCTCCCATCCCGGCTGCTGTGGCCACCTGCGTTTGCCGTTTCTGTTTGGTCTGAGCGGGGTTGATGTCCTGAACGGGAGAGTCGCCAGTTGCATTCCAGGGCTCTGCGGTCAGGCTGGACAGATGGATGCCCAGAAGGATGGGGCCGTGTTGGGGAGGTTCAGAGCCATGGCAGACGGGGCAGCTGGTGGGCTGGAGCCTCTGCAGAGACCAGCTCTGGACTGTGGCTCAGCCGCCAGCATGCTCAGCCTGGGGCAGGCAACTTCCCAGCTCTGCAGACGGACCCTGGTTCTGGTTTCCTCTCAGGAGAGCTCAGACCGAGGTTTGCAGTGGGGTAGAACTTAGCCCGAATGCTTTGATCTTCCCAAGAGGGCACTCCGGCTTGAGTCATGGCAGTGAATCGGTTTTAAAATGATGTCGCGCCCTGATCTCTTGTGCCAGATGTTCCGAAGTTCCCCAAGGAGCAGCTGGAGCCCCTGGAGGTGGAGGAGGGAGACCCCATCGTCCTCCGGTGCAGCCCCCCCAGCGGGCTGCCCCCGCTCCACATCTACTGGATGAACATGGGTGAGCAGCGCTGGTTCTGCGTGCAGCTGGGAAGCAGGATGCCGACTCGGGCAGTGAGTGCTCTGCCCTGGCCGGACCCGCACGCGGCTGGCCCCTTGGGCGGACGCTGCTCGAAGTAAGAGGCCCCTGTGGGCTCGTGCAGGCTGTGGAGAGACGCTTCCCGTCTCCAACCCTTGGGCACACGTCCCGTGGCTGTCAGGGTGGCGCATGTTGGCAGCCACAGTCTCGTGACTCTCAGTCTTGTCCTCCATCTTCAGCGACTGGCCCAGAAATTCTCCCGCACCCTTGGGCTGGTTTCCGAGACGGCTTAAGACAGACGAGATTCCCGCTTCCTCTGAGGGTCTCTTGTGTCCCGGGGGGCGGGTCTGCACAGTGCTCAGAGGACGGGCCAGGCCCCCAGGGCTGTGTCTGGCTCCTGGACTGGAAAGCCCCAGTGGGAGAGGCTGGCCCGGGGTCGCAGCTCGCCTGCTGTCTGCACGGGGGCCGGGCGGGGGAAGGGGGGGTCACGGGCAGGGCCCGTGCAGGTCCTCCCTGCTGAGTGGGGGACCGGGGCCCACGCGGGGCGGGAGGCCGGGGACACAGGCCTCTCGCTGCCTCCCCTTGCAGAGCTGGAGCACATCCAGCAGGACGAGAGGGTCTACATGAGCCAGAAGGGGGACCTGTACTTCGCCCACGTGGAGGACCAGGACAGCCGCAGTGACTATTGCTGCTTTGCCGCCTTCCCCCGGCTCCGGACCATAGTGCAGAAGATGCCCATGAAGCTCACGGTCAACAGCTGTGAGTGGGCCGGGGGCCGGGGATCTCTCGGGCGGGACAAGTCGCCTGCTCAGGGGTCTTCCTTCCCCGGAGGCAGGGCTGTTGCTTCCCGCCCCGGCTGTCACGCTTGGGTCGGCCCCAGCAGGGCCCTGGGCTCCTCCCTGATCGCGGGGCAGTCGGTGGCCAGCGGCGGGCCTGAGGGGCGGAGGCCAGGCACAAAGAGCAGCGGTTTGGACAGCGGCTGCCGCTGCCTCTCTGAGTGGGACGAAGACGTGACGGGTTCCCCTCCGGACTTGGCTCTGCGGAGGCCAGGCCAGGCCCCCGGGTACCCCGTGAGCATAGCCGCTGCCCGGTGCTGGGCACCCCGTGAGCGTAGCTGCTGTACCTGCGGCCCCCGCCCTGCCTCCCCGCCTCCGTGCCTGATGCCTCACCTTCACACCGTCACATCTCCATTGTGTTGTGAGTCTCTCTCCATTTCTTTGTTTCAGTAAAGCATGCTAATGAGTCCGGTTCATCCACAGAAACGGGCTCCCCGGGTAAGTGCTCGGGTGGTGTGTGTGTGTGTGTGTGTGTGTGTGTGTGTGTGTGTGTGTGTGTCCATCTTCACCCTCACAAACTCATTATCATCTCAAATCCGAGCTGGGCCCTCAGTGCCTCTGTGAGTTTATGGAAAGATAACTTTTCAGGCCAAGAAAGTCCCTTTTTTGGTGGAGGATTCTACTGACCTTAAATACACACAAAGCTAACGATATAGGTACTGGAAGCGTAGAAATACAACCTTGTTCACATAGAATGCATCTGCCACTGACACTTATGAGCACATTCGCACAAACAACATAAAACTGCACACATTGGGGCTGGAGCGATAGCACAGCGGGTAGGGCATTTTCCCTGCGCGCGGCTGACCTGAGTTCAATCTCCAGCACCCCATATGGTCCCCTGAGCACCACCAGGAGTGATTCCTGAGTGCAGAGCCAGGAGTAACCCCTGAGCATCTCCGGGTGTGACCCAAAAAAGCAAAAGCAAAAGCAAAACAAAACAGAACAAAACACAAACTACACACATTCAGTAGACCTACAAGAGTCCCCCAAATGTCACTCACGTGTCGTGGACATTTGAGTTCACTGCTGAAGAGGAGAGGAAGAACCGGGAGTGGCCAGGAGGCCTCACTGGCCAGTCATGCTCTGCAGCAGAGACCCCGACTTCAGCTTGTCCCCGGGAGGAGCCCCCAGCCCACATGGCCTGGAAACCACAGTCCATTCAGAAGCCAGGGAAGAAGGGAGGAAGAGGGTGCTGAGAGGGGGGAGGGGGGAGAGCTGGGACGGCCAGCAGAAGGGGTACGGTGGTGTGCCCCTTCCCGGCCCCCAGGGTGCCCACCTGCCAGTGCCCGGGTGTTGGGGGACAGTGGAGCGGGCAGCGTTTTCCAAGCATACTTGCCCATGAGACCTTCTTACCTGGGGGCAATACATGGCCCCTGTGCTGTGGGAGAGGCCTGGGTGGGGCCAAGCCACTGTGGCTGTCTGTGCGCTCAGAACCACAGGACTTGAGGTCCAGTCTGTCTAAGTCTGGGCCAGCGCCGGTGCTTGGCTCTGTCCCATCCCAGGCTCCTGGGACCCCAGTGGGCGGGCACGGTGGCAGTTCTTCCACCAGCTTCTGCGTGTTGTGACATTGCCGCCAGCCTCATGTGGAGTTATTCCTCAGCCACTGAGCGCGGGGCCTCGGGGTGAGGGGTTCGGAGACGCTGCTGGCTGGGTTCCCTGTTCCTCCCCAACTGCACGGTGCCAGCTGTCCACTCCCTAGGGCTGCCCATGGCGGGGACGGCTGCAGGCAGCCGGGTGAGGCGTCTGAGCAAGAGGGTGCACATTGCACGCGAGGTCCCCAGGGACAGATGCGGGCAGGTGGGAATGCTTGGGATATGGTGAGCTGAGGGCTCTGATGGGTGCCTGCAGGAGGAGAGTGTGAGGTGTGGGGGGCTGAGGGCCCGGTAGTTTCCCGAGGGAGCACTGTGGCCTGGGAACACCCTGACGGAGCTTTCCTGCCATCCCCAGCCAACTCCATCAAGCAGCGGAAGCCCCGGATGCTGCTGCCCCCGGCCGAGAGTGGCGACTCCTCCCCAGTCACCGTCCTCAAGGGGGAGGCCCTGGTGCTGGAGTGCTTCGCCGAAGGCCTGTGAGTCTGGGGCGGCCGGCGGGGCGGGGGCCCCACACCGTGTAGATGGTTCCTCTAGAGTCCAACGCCCCATCTGCCCTGCATGACTCCAGGTGGCCAGTCAGAGGTCCGGGAGCCGGTGGCCGCGCTGGCTGGTCAGGTGACTCAAAGCTTGCGCCCGCTCTGCACCCAGGGGCCCTGCAGCTGCCCTTCGTCCCCTTGGGCACAGAGGGACGCCCACCCCAGCCCACAGTGTCCCCCCGGGCGGGTTCTGATGGTTTGCTCGGAGACGGGACATTTCAGGGACTTCAGGGCTAAGGATTCAATAGGGTACGGTGGGTCAAGGAATTCAGAGGTGTCTGGGTAGAGGGCAATACACTGTCCCCACTCCTGCAGGGGCCACCCTATTCTGTGACCAGTCATGGAGCCGGCCCCACACTGCCCCACGCTGCCTTGTCCCGGTTTCCAGAGGTGTGACCCCGGGCTCCTGTAGCCACATCACGTGGTGCCGGAGGGTGGGCCCTGTGCACCAGATCTGACGTCTACTCTGAGGGGCGGCTGGGGGGGCAGGAAGGAAGGGGGGGCACACCACGGATTCCCGATTCTGCTGTTCTGTCTCCACCCAGTGGGGCCCCAGGAATTTGCGTACAGAGTAGAACTATGGTTGGCCTGTGTGCCTTGGCAAGGCTCTCACTGGTGTGCCCTTAGTTGACATGGCTTTGGCTGGTGTGGCCCTGGCTGGTGTGGCCCAAGCTGGCGTGGCCTTGGCTGGCATGGCCTTGGCTGGCGTGGTATTGGCTGGTGTGGCCCTAGCTGATTGGCTGGCATGGCCCTAGCTGATGTGGCCTTGGCTGGCGTGGCCTTGGCTGGCGTGGCCCTGGCTAATGTCGCCTTGGCTGATGTGGCCCTGGCTGGTGTGGCCTTGGCTGGCGTGGCCCTAGCTGGCGTGGCCTTGGCTGGTGTGGCCTTGACCGATGTGACCTTGGCTGTTGTGGCCTTGACTGCAGTGGCCTTAGCTGGTGTGGCCTTGGCCAGCATGGACCTGGCTGATGTGGCCTTGGCTGACGTGGCCTTGTATGGCATGTTATTGGCTGGCGTGGCCCTAGCTGATATGGCCCTGGCTGGCGTGGCCTCAGCAGGATCTTGATCTCTGAGCACTGGCTGCTCAGAGACCAAGTAACAGCCTGAGGTTGGGAAAGTGTGTTCATGCATGAGAGCACATCTCTCTCCCCTCAAACTTCATGACTCCAATGGTGTGAGTAAATGTTCCTCAAGTGAACACAAGTGGGAGAGGAGAGGGGCCCCTGAGCGCCAAGTGGCAATGAGGTGGCAGCGGAGACGCCCTCGGAGAAACTCTGCTCGCTGGAGCTTCTCGCCGTTTCCTGTTCTCTCCAGGACGGGAGCCGAGACTCAGCTAGTTTGCAAGGGCTTGCACAAATCTCAAGCAGAAAGCGCGAGGCTGGCACCTCGGAGTGGGACTTGGGGCACTCCTGCCCGGAGGCGTGGGGCACCAGCAGCCCTTCAGCACCCTGGCAGATGGCGTGAGGATGCGGCCTCTCAGGGGGCTGGGCGGACAGCTGCACCCCTGCCCCGGCCTGGACAGGGTCCATGGCCTGGTGGGAGAAGGCGCGGGCCAGAGCCCCTCCCTCAGCGCAGTGCCCAGGGCAGAGTGGACGTGGAAGGCCTGAGACACACAGGCCAGGCCAAGGCACTGGCCCCTCGTCCTGAGCTGCTGAGTGAGCGTGGGAGGGAGGAGGAGAGGGTCCAGGCCCTGGCAGTCTGTGGCCAGAGGAGACTCAGGCCTGCAGAATGGAAGTGGGCAGGTGGGCACTGCTGTCCAGGGCACTCAAGGATGCCCTGGGGCTCTGGGGTCTCTTGGGGAGACCGAGGCTCCTTACTAATGGCCTGAGACTGGCCATGACATGGTCAGCAGGACTCCCCTCTGCCCCATGGCATGGTCCAACCGGGGCCAGGGCTGGTCGTTCTGCAAGACCCCTGGAGCTGGTCACCGAGGTTTGGACTGTGGGGTGGGCTTCTCTCTACAGTCAGAGGGAAGAGGCAGTAGTGCTTGGCAGGGTCCCACAGTCAGAGGAAAGAGGCAGCTCTGCCTGTCTTGGTCTTGGCCTTTTCTTTCGTTCCGTCTGTGGACTCAGCTTCTTAAGCCAGGAGATGTGGACCCTCCCCCAGCCCCGGTGCATTGTGGGTGCTTGGAGTCCACATGCCCTGACCAGGCTGTTCCGGCAACCCGCAGTCTGCAGGCACTGGACACCAGCGGCCTTGCCTGCAGGCGGGATGCCCGTTTCCCTCTGCTGCTCTCAGGGGGGGGTGCGCAGGGAAGAGCTAAAGCTTCTGGTCACTGCAAACCACCTCCGGGGCCTGCTGGGCGTGGCCGCTGCTGTCTCGGGGCCCAGCACCCCAGTCCAGTCCGGCGGCTCCCAGCTCTGCCGCTGAACAGCGTGGAGGACCCGGGCTGGCCGTGCCATTGGGTGTGGCTGCAGACCCTCCCCAGGCGGCAGAGGGGCTCACCTCCTGTTGCTTCCCAGGCCGACCCCGAAGGTGGAGTGGAGTAAACTGGGCGGCGACTTACCGAAGGGAAGAGAAACGAAGGAGAACTACGGCAAGATGCTGAAGATCGAGAACGCCTCGTACCAGGACAAGGGGAACTACCGCTGCACGGCCACCAACGCCCTGGGCTCTGCCACGCACGACTTCCACGTCACCGTGGAAGGTACCCGGGGGTGGGCAGGCACCTTGCGCTCGGTTACAGAGTGTGGGGCCGACGCCGTAGAGCCGGTGCAGTGACCGACCTCTCAGAGCTGGTGCAGTGACTGACCCGCAGAGCTAGTGCAGGCCTGGCCGAGACCCCCTCCGCTGCCCACAGGCCTGGCTCTGCGCCCTGCAATCAGGCACGTCATGGGTGGGGCCCCCTGACAGGAGTGCGGGTCATGGTCACCTCTGGCACGTGGCACCAGGACAGCTGCCCGGTGCCCTAGACAGACACAGGGACCTGGTCCTGAGGGCTGCTAAAACGTCTCCAGTCCAGCTGCACTGGCCATGTGGGTGCCCAGAAGGAAGGGGCTCGTGCAAATGGACAGTGACCTCATATCAGTCAGCACACGGCCCTGACTGGGACGATGCTGGCTTCTCCACCAGGTGCCCGCTTCCTCGGCGGGGTTCAGTGGTGAGGATTAGAGGACTGTCCACTGGGGCAGCATGGTTGGATTGGCCCTGGTCCCTGCCCTGTGCCTGGGCCGTGCTGTGGCCGTCACAAGGTGCCCCGGGCTGGCTCAAGTGGCAAAAGCCGAGCTCCATGGGGCTGGACTGAGAACTGCCAACCCCTGCCTCTGGGCAGCCCTCTCTGACCAGGTCCTCCCACACCAGCCTCCATCCCACCAGGCCTCAGCCCGGAGGAGGGTCATTGCCTCGGGCTCTCCCTGCAATGGGCGGCAGAAAGTGGCTGGAAATGGGCAGGGCCGGAGGCGGCAACCAAGCTCCCTCTGCACCTGTACATCACTTCTTTTTAATTTGTTTTTTATTTTGGGGCCACACCCAGGGATGCTGAGGGGTGACTCCTGGCTCTGCTTCAGGAATCACTCCCAGTGGTGCTGGGGGACCCTGTGAGGTGCCGGGGCTCAAACTGACAAGGCAAGTGCCTTCCCCGGTGCTTTCCTTCCAACGGGGATGTCCTGTCCAGCCCTGAGCCCTCGGACAGGCCTGCTCCAGGCACACTCGGCAGCTGGGCCTTCGCCTGCCTGGAAGCAGTTGAAGGGGCACTTGGGGTGCGCATGGATCCAGTTTCTCCAACACAGATGTTTGATTTTACTGATTATCTATAGAGACAAAATGATAACAGTTAAAGTCACTTAAACGTGCAGCCCCACCCGGGGCCCAGACCTTTGGGCCTAGGGACCTGCTTGATCCTGGTGGTGGTGGGCGCCTGGGCACCTGCTGGGACTGGCAGGAAGGGCCACAGCCTGAGCGCCTCAGCTCCTACCCCTCCTGATGAACAGAGAAAACCCCTTCCACGTCCCCTCTACCCCGTCACCGTGACGACAGGCCTGGTCACGCTACACGTGTGCATGTGTGACTGTGTATGTACGTGTGTGCATGCGTGTGTGTGCATGCATGTGTGTGTGCATGTGTGTGCATGTGGTGTGTACGCATGTGTATGTGTGTGTGCGTGTATGTGTGTTTGTGATGTGTGTGGTTGTGATGTGTGTATACGTCTGTGTGTGTGCATATATGTGTGTGCATGTGTATGTGTGTGCTTGCACATGCGTGTTTGTGTGTGTATTTGTGTGTGGTTGTGATGTGTGTGCGTGTGTGTGTGCGTGTGTGTGTGATTTTCCTTTTGACTAAGGAGGGAAGTCCAGAGCATCCCTGGGGGCCCCAGGTGCCTGCAGGTGGTGCTGGGGTCCTGTTGCTGGGCCAGCACAGCCCAGCCTCAGACGCTCCTGACAATTCCGTGTGTGTGTGTGTGTGTGTGTGTGTGTGTGTGTGTGTGTGTGCTGACACCCCCCATGGCGTGTTTGCGCTCAGGGAAGGGCGGCTCTTCTGGGTGGAAGCACCACAGATTCCTGCCCTCAGTCCCCACAGGCCAGGAAGGCTGCAGCTGTGGCCAGCTCCGCAGCGCCCCCTGCTGACAGACCCTGTGGGCAAAGGCCAGAAAAGCAGAGTCAGATGAGAAACACCGCAGGGCAGCCCTTACGGGGGGTGGTCGTGAACGTTTCACCGAAAACAAAGGCAACAAAGGCCTCCAGGGGTGGAGAGATGCTCGGGCTCAGGCCCTGCTGCACCCTGGGCCCGGGGGTCACTGGTCACCGCCTGGCGTGACTCAGGCCCTGGAAGCTGCTTCAGGACCCTCGTCCCCAGGACCCTGCCTGTCGTGGGGTGGGAGGAGCCCCGGCCAGGAGCCTGGTGGGGAGGGGCCCAGGCCCCTGCACCTGGCTCTGACTGGCCCCTCCCCACAGAGCCCCCGCGCTGGACCCGGAGGCCGCAGAGCGCTGTGTACAGCAGCGGCAGCAGTGGGATCCTGGTGTGCGAGGCAGAGGGAGAGCCGCAGCCCACCATCACCTGGAGGGTCAACGGCGCCCCCCTGGACAGTGAGTGCGGGGCCAGACCGGCCCCATGCCTGGGCGGGCAGAGGTGGGGGCGCCGGCCTGCGGGGCCCAGCCCGGGCCCACTTGAAGCTGCCTCTCCAGAGCTGTCTCCAGAGCTGCTGCCCGGGGCCACCAAGGCTGCATCTGGGATGCTCAGGGGCCGTGGGGGGCAGGGGGGGTAGGGACTCGGGGCCTTTTGCCAGTGTTCCACCCTTGCACACGTCCCGCCTTTGCACACGTCCCATCCATGCACACATCCCCAGGGCAGCCTCTGTCTGAGCTGCAGGCGGCGAGGGTGCTGGTGGGCAGTGCCGCGTCCTGGACAGGCAGTGGGGGCCAGCGCCCAGTCTGGGCTTGTACCTGCACACAGCCCCCTCGGTGCCCTGGGTCACTGCCCCCAAGACGCCTGGCTCAGTGAACAGGCAGAGCGTGAGCCCAGCGTGAGGTTCTGGCTCTGCCCTGGACCCTGACCTGATTTCCCAGAGCTATGGGCTCCTGGGGGTCTCAGCACGGGGCTCCCAACCCACCCCTGGGCTCTGGACCCCACCTCGAAACTCCCCCTCAGGAAATGGAGCCTGGGGGCAGGGTTCCAGGCAGCTAGAGTGGACGGACCCCCGAGCTCCAGGAAAACAGGGTCACACGCGGGACCCCTCTCTACCCTGGTCACCTACTGGGACCCCCCGCTATCCAGGTCACAGTCTGGGACCCCCAGTTCTGTGGAAATGCTGAGCCCCTTAATCTCCCGTAGAAAATCCCTTTGCCAGCGACGTTGTGTCATCGGGGGAGATCAGCTTCACGGACCTGCAGCCCAACCACACGGCCGTGTACCAGTGTGAGGCCACCAATGCCCACGGCACGCTCCTGGCCAGCGCCAACGTGGATGTCCTAGGTGAGTCCGGGGCCGGGCTGGGCTCTCGGGAGGGGGCCTTTGGCCTTGCAGACTCACAGCCACCATGTCCGTCCACGGCGGTCAGGACTTCCCTGACTCACTGTGCTCCCGGTCAGGAGCTCTGGGGGTGGACGCAGAGGTCAGTGTCTCCCAGAGTGCAGACGTCTGGGCTACCATATCTGAGAGGACAGACTGTGGTCACCAGGGCCAGGCGTGTAGTACAGTGACTATCAGACTGAGGGGCAGACTATTGATCATCAGACCCGAGGGGGCAGCCTGTTGACTATCAGGCCTGAGCGGGCAGACTATCAGGCCCGAGGCTATAGACTATTGACTATTGACTGTCAGACTCAAGGGGGCAGACTATTGACTATTGACTATCAGGCCTGAGGTGCAGACTCAGATGAGTGTGTCCCAGAGTGTGGGCCCCTCAACGCCTTCTGCGGGAGTCCTGAGCTGCCTGTGCTTCCCTGCAGATGTCCGCCCGCTGATCGAGACGGAGGATGAGGAGAGCTACTCCGCGGTGCTGGGGGCCAGCACGCTCCTGCACTGCCGGCACTTCGCCTCGCCCACGGCCACTGTGACCTGGTAAGCGGCAGCTCCCTGGATGCTCAGTGGCAACCGTGGGTGGTGGCTTCTCTCCCCTCCCTCCCCACACCCGGGCCCCGATGGACTCAGACAGCAAGAGCTGCACCTGCCCGTCCACTCCCGGGCCCATGGAGCGGTCTCAGGCTTTCCTGGGGGAACGTGGGGTCCAGCCTGGTTCTGGGGCCAGTGGGTCAGTGGGTCAGTGGCCGGGCCATCAGGGGCAGCTGCTGCCCCAGCCCGGGCCGGCCCTGGCTCTCCGGTGCCGTTCCTGCTGCTTGGGTACCATCTGCGCCTCACTCCGGACCACACCTTCCTGCTCCCCCACCTGGAGGGCGTGGCAGGGTGGCGGGGACCGGGTGGGGGTCCCAGGAACACCCTGAGACTCTGAGCTCAGGTCCCCGTCGTTCTGAGGTCCGTGTGGTTCTGAGGTCCGTGTGGTTCTGAGGTCCGTGTGGTTCTGAGGTCCGTGTGGTTCTGAGGTCTGTGTAGTTCTGAGGTTCATGTGGTTCTGAGGTCTGGGTGGTTCTGAGGCCCTGTGGTTCCTGAGACCCTGTGATTTTGAGGTCCATGTGGTTCTGGGGCCTCATGGTTCTGAGGCCTCGTGGTTCTAAGGTCTGTGTGGTTCTGAGGCCCTGTGGTTCTGAGGTCTGGGTGGTTCTGACGCCCTGTGGTTCTGAGGCCCTGTGGTTCTGAAGACTCACTCTGAGGCCCTCTCCCTGGCCGGCTGCCCCTCCCAGAGCCCCTGTGGGTGGCCCTGGGTTATTCCCTGAGTCGACCTCTGTCTGTGCAGGAGAGCAGCGCGTTGGCCCGGGAGCGAGCCTTGGACAGCCTCTGGCTGTGGAGGGTCGGGCCCTTGGCTGTCCAGCACTGCAGAGCACAGGGCGTCACGTGCTTTGCTGTTCTCCGAGTGTCCGGCTGGGGCCCGGAAGCCACCATCAGAGCTGGGCAAGGCCTGCGCTCCGCGTGAGCACTGTCCCTCAGGCTGACAGCTCTGCCCCGGCCCCACGGTGCACCTCTGGGGTCTCGCCGCTAAACCGCCCGTTCTCCATCGGAGCTTCCGGGCACCTTCGGGCTCTCCCAGGCAGCCGCTGGCCCCGCTCCCATGTGCCACCTGTTCTGGCTCCCGCCTGCCGGGCCCCGGCTCCGCTCGCTGCAGCTCTGGAGGGCAGGGCCATGCCGCCTAGGACACAGGGCAGGCCGGCTCCGTGGCGGCCGCGCTGGACTCGCCCTCACACCTGCCCGTGCTGTCCGCAGGCAGACGGCAGACGAGGCCGTGCCACTGGGGGGCCCGCGGTTCCAGGTACTGGGCAACGGCAGCCTGCTCATCGGGAGTGTCCGCGAGGAGGACGCCGGCTCCTACTCCTGCTGGGTGGAGAACGCACAGGGCAAGGCGGCAGTCACGGCCAGCCTGGACGTCAGGAGTGAGTGCCCGTCCTGATGGCCTCCCCGCCCGCTGCGTCCAGCTCCCACCGTGTCCAGCCCCACCGTGTCCAAGGCCCCACTGTGTCCAGCCCCCGCTGCGTCCAACCCCCGCTGTGTCCAAGGCCCCGCTGTGTCCAGCCCCTGCCGTGTCCAAGGCCCCACTGTGTCCAGCTCCCACTTTGTCCAGCCCTTGCTGTGTCCAGCCCCCGCTGTGAGCTCCAAGCGGGCAGGCAGCTGGCTGTGACCCCTGCCCCCAGCAGTCTCCCCTCCTGGCTCTGAGTGACCCCCATGGCCCAGTTCTCGGCTGCCCCCGACTCAGCCCCCCGAGAGGGCCCGGGAGGGTCTGTCCTTGGTCCAGCGGCCACCGTCAGGGCAGCTCCAGACGCCATCTCTGGCTCCCTCTCCCCAGCCCCTCCTCCGGCCCCTCACCTCTGTCTTTCTGTGACCACAGATGCCACGAGGCTGCAGGTGACCCCACGAGACCCTCGAGTGCCCCGGGCACAGGCGCTGACCCTGCACTGTGCCAGCCAGTGTGACGCCCATCTCAGGGGCTCGCTGAGGCTGTCCTGGACCCACGATGGGGAGGCCATCAGTGACAACAGCACCGGGGACGGCAGGTGGGCCGGGGGTGGGCCGGGGGATGAGGGGGAGTGGGGGCTCCTGGAGGGGTTCCCGTGTGGGTGGGGGTTCCCTTGGGTGGGGTTGGGCCTTGGGAGGGCCCAGGCGGATGGGCCCTATGGGGACACCTAGACGGTCCCACCCTGCACTCACCTTGGTCCACAGCTTCTCCTGCCGCCTGCTGGCCTCGCTAGCTGGGACCCGGGGCAGCAGGGAGGGGCGTCCACTGACACTGGACTCTGGCGACTCTCAGAGCTGTGGTGGCTCCTGGCCACTGAGTCACAGGGGCCCAGAGTCAGGACCACGTTCAGGGTCAGGGGTCGGGGGCGTCAGGTTGAAGGTCAGGGTCGGGTGGCCCAGGGAAGGTGCAGGTGGGCCATGTCTGCGCAGAGGGAGGGTCCAGCGCCCCTGAGTGGCAGCAAGGTGGGGTCCCCATTGCTCCGGAAACTGCACTCTGCCCCGCTTTTCTCCCTCCCTCCGACACGCAGTCGCAAAGTTCTGCGAGCATCTTACATTGAGTGGACGTTGTCCTACAAGGTTGCCTGAATAGTGTGGCTCGTTCGGCTACGAAACCATAGAATAAAGTAGTGGCCAAAGAACCGGACTTGAGAGGAGAAAGCCTGTGTTTAGAGCAAGTGCCAGCAGGTCGCCAGAAGGAGCCAGAGGTCCCCACCCAGCACAGGGGAGGGAAGTGGAAGGGGAAGGGGAAGGGGAAGGGGCCCCCACTCGTGCCAGGGCTGTGTAGGTGCTGCACGCATGTGAGTGTCTGTGTGGGTGCGAGTGATTGTGTATCAGTGTGTGTATGTGTGTATATTGCTGAGACTCAGTCTGTGGCCCATGAAGTTGTATGACGTATGTATGAATTGCTGCATGTGCATACGTGTGAGTACATGAAGTGTGAGTCCCGTGAGCATTTGCAATGACATTCTTGTATATGGAGTCCTATGTGCCAACTTGGTTGCATGACGTGTGAGAAGTGCTCTGTGCACAGCTGTGATTCCGTTATGTGTGGGTGAAGTGTTGTGTGTGTGTTGTCATCAGTCTGCGTGTGTGATTGTGTGTCATGTGGGGTCAGCATGTGTGCACGTGTGTGTTCATGTTGTGGACAATTTGAGCTGAGCATGAAATGATATGTGTGCAGGTTGTCACTGTGTGAGGGTCATGTGACACGCTTGATGGGATGTGTACCTGTGTGTAGTATCAGGGAGTATTCGTGTGACGTGTATGAAGTGCTATGTGAGAGTGATCACGTGACATGTGTGTAAACACACAAAAAAGGACGGGCAAGGGGACGGCAGCGGCCTATCTCTCCCGCTGCCCGCGTTCGGTAGTCTCAGGCCGTTTCCCCACTCCACGGAGGTCGATGGTGATGGTCAGGCGAAGGAAGGAAACGGGGGCCAGGCTGGTTGGTCTTAGCAGCAGTTTATTACATGGAAGAGATGTATGTCATGGAGGCCCCAGGATCTCTCAAGCACGTGTGCCTTTGTTCTCTCAGCTTCTGTCCTCAGCCCCATCTTCCCAGGTTCTCTAATGCACGTGTCGCCCAGAGAGCCCTGAAATCTCCCTTATATCGATTATGGTACCTCTAAAGGGTGCAATACAGTGATGTCATCAAAAGGAGTTACAGAAAGAACATTGAGGGTTTCTCAAACCATACATTGTTTCTTTACATCCAGGCCAGTAATCCTGGCCTCACCTTTTACAAGCTACAAGCACTTGGATTAGCACATCAAAGCCCAGTCTGCTAGAGTTTGGAGCCTACATCTCAAAGATCAGCCTGCCTGGAGCCAGGCATCTACATCCCCAAGATCAGGCCTGGTTTAGCACCTGGGATCTGCATCCCTAAGACCAGCTAGGTTCCTGTGAGATAAGGGAAACTACCTCAATATACTGAAATCATTTACTGAAGGCAGTTTGAAGGGGAGAAAGGTTCAGTCTCATCCAAGCTAGTCAGGACACCCAGGAAAACTGCTTCTACGACAGATCAACCCACCCTAGAACAGATTTCCCTGGATGTGTTTCTCCTCTCCTTGTCCGACCAACATATAAGCATACATAATATAAATCATTTCGTATGGACACAGTAAGAAATACTTTAAGTTTATAGAATTGCTCTCCCAGGGCCATCTCAATCTCAGACTGCAGTGCTCAGGCCAGATCTCTTTCCTATTCCTAGCAGCAGGGTCCTAGTCTCGTCAATACTTTTGGATCATGACAGCATTTGCCTATGATCAAACTCTTAACCTATAGTTAAGAATCGTGGCACCTTGGCCTGGCCCATCACAATGCCAGGGTAGCACATAACTTACTGGCTTGCCCTGGTTCCATCCAGTCCCACGTCGGGACCCTGCCCTTGGGGTGCTAGGAAGTGAGGGCAACTGAGGCTTAAGTTGAGAAAGCAGATGCCCAGGAGTGAATAATATTCAAAGCCAATCAATTCCTAAGTTACAAAGCATAATATTAATTAATTGTCTTCCTGTATCTATACAAAAAGGACATTGCATTAAACTGTTCAAAAGAAATAAGGAGAGGAGAAAGACAATATTAACTTGCAGTACAGCTTCAGTGTCTAAGAAGGAGGAGACCTTACAAATTGGTTGGGGAAGAGAGCACAAAGAAGTAGTTACAAACAAATGTAGTAATGGTAATGACTCGGGAGCACTGTGATGGGTGCAACCTGATAAACCTAAGCTCCTTGTACTCCAACAACATGCATGCTGTGCTCTGCATGTGTGAGTGCACATGTGTAGTCACGTGACACGTGTTAAATGCTGTGGCCGTGCGTTGTGTCAGTATCTTCGGGGGAGGGCACGCCTGTGTTCTTCTCGCTGTCCCTCAGCTCCTGCGGCCTGTCCCTGTCTCTGTCATTGTCCTGTGCTGCCTCTGTGTCACTCGGGTCCCCTGTGCCTCCCTGTCCCAGGGTGCTCGTGGCCGGGGCCAACCTGACCATCACCAACGTCACGCTGGCAGACGAGGGCACCTACTCGTGCTGGGTGCACACGGCCCTGGACAGCGCCTCGGACAGCACGCGGGTCACGGTCCTCGGTGGGTGTGTGGGGGGGGGGGGGCGCTTGGGCACGGGGCGGGAGAGATGGACAGACCCCAGGGGAGGGCCTACCCGCTCGACCCCTGACCTCTCCCTGTCCCGGCAGACGTGCCCGACCCCCCGGGGCACCTGCACCTGTCAGAGCGGCAGAACAGGAGTGTCCGGCTGAGCTGGCGGGCAGGGGACGCCCACAACAGCCCCATCCAAGGTGAGGCCAGAGTCACTCGGGCGCAGGCTGTGCCGGTGGGCTCTGTGCACCGTGCGTGGGCCTCCCTGGGCTGTGGGGTCCCAGCCTATGGGTCCCAGCCTATAGGGCAGGAGTTCCAGGCCTTACAGGGTGGGGGATCCCAGGGGACTTACAGGGTGGGGGTCCCAGCCTTATGGGTGGGGGTCCTGGGCCTTGCACCGGGTCCATCCCTGGCTGTGGCCCTCCTTTCCTGCAGAGTACATCATAGAGTTTGAAGGGGACCGAGAAGAGCCCGGCCGCTGGGCGGAGCTGACCCGGGTCCCTGGAGGGGACACCTCGGCACTGCTGCCCTTGGCGCCCTACGTGCGGTACCAGTTCAGGGTGACGGCCGTGAATGCAGTGGGCCGCAGCGGGCCCAGCCGCCCGTCGGAGCACCACCAGACACCCCCTGCAGGTAGGGGGCTCGGCAGGGGTGACCCAGGAGGGACCCCTCCCTCCCCAGGGCCCGAGGTGGCCTGTGGATCTGCCAGAGACACACCTTGGGGTGACGAGGAGCCCACAAGGGTCCCGGGACGTGGGGACACTGATGCTGGTCAGGGCCCCCCTGAGGGTCCCGGGGGTCCTTTCGGGGTCTGGCAGGCTCCATCTCCAACAGATAACGATCGTGCTCAGGTCTGTGATCACGGGAGGGTCCTGGGTGAGCTTCTGTAGACGGAAGACTCGAGGTTTTGACTTTCTGGAATAGAAATCTGGGCCCTGCCCCAGGGGTGCTCAGGGAGACCCCCCGCCCAGGGCACCCAGTGTCAGTCCTGGGCAGCGCGTCCCCACTGCAGCTCACGCCCCAGCCCAGCCTCTCCTGGCCCCTGAAGTACAGCGCGGTTCAGTATATGCAGGTTTAGACCCTTTTCCCACTCGACGCCACTGACCGCATTGGTTGTACTTGGTGCAGCTTTTGTTCCTCCGTGTCTCCGTCCCCGGGACACTTGTCTGGCAGTGCAGGACACCCATGAGCCCGACCCGGTCAGTGCACAGGCCACGTGCCGCCCTCCGGGGTGGGGAGTTGTGGGTCAGCGAGTCGGATTCACGTGCCCGTGTGGGGGTTGGTCTTATCCCGAGGGCTAGGCAGGACAGGACACCCTGGCAGGGTCCAGTGTCCCCGCAGAGGACAGCATGGACAGGCCCTTCCTAGCGTGGATGATGGGAAATGAGGCGGCTCTAAACTCAGGGCATTTCCACGGGGCAGCTGCTGGGTGGGTCACGGGGAAGGGGTGACACCCACTTCCCGTGCCTCGTTAAACAGATTCTTTATCTCTGGGGGCTCCCAGGCAGCGCTGGGGGCTGGGGCCACTGCAGGGCACCCCCTGCCAAGGAGACAGGGCGGCACGAGGCTCTGGGGTGAGGGTCTCCAGGTCAGCACCCGCAGGCCCGGGTCCAAGCCGGATGCCCACGTGCACAGCCCACGCCCACGTATTGCATGGCCTCTCGGGCCCTGCAGAGGCCCAGAAGCCACCTTGTGTGTGTGTGGGGGGGGGAGAACGAGTGTCCACATGAGTGTCCAGCACTGTGTGTGTGGCACTGTGTGACACACAGCTATCCTCGGTGTCTGTCAGACTGAGAGCCTGGGAACCTGCGGTCAGTCACCACAGGACCCAGCTGGGCAGAACAGACTCTCCCTGCGGCCACTGGACCTGGTGTGAGGCCGGGGGTGCTGAGGCCACGGTGCCAGCAGGACGGCCCTAACACTGTCCCTCTCCAGCTCCTGACAGGAACCCAAAGAACGTCCATGTGCAGGCGTCACAGCCCAAGGAGCTGGTCATCCGGTGGGAGGTACGTGCTGGCCGCGCCCATGGCTCCCGGGAGGACGAGCTGGTCTCCAGGCACGCGGCTGTGGGCCTCAGCCCACATGCTGCGGCCAGTCCCTCCATGGCCGGGCTGCGTGGGCTGTCATGGCCCAGAGTGTGGGGACCCAGCAGGTTGACCCAGAGCCGCCGGCTCAGACCAGCCCTGTGACACCCCTGCAGCGCCCTCCGGAAGCTGCGTCCCTGTCTCCTTCCACATGGAGGCTTTCTCCAGCTGCCCCGCGCAGGTCTGGTCAGCATTCAGAGTCCAGCCCTAGGCGCCGCCCGCGTGGCCTTGTGTCCTTGCTACAGCCCCTGTGCCCGTGTCTCCTCTCTGGTGGCCACCCGGCCCAGCGGGTCTCAGCGGCTCCGTGCCCACCCAGCGGGTCGGCCCTCATGCTTTGTGCTGTGTCAGGGCTGCCGACAGGCCCGCCCTTCACCTATCTCCCGGGGACTCACTGCCTCCCCTGTGGGCGCCTCCCCCAACACTTGTGACGTGCGTCCCACAAGCTACTCACTGAAATGCATGTGCCACTTTCCTGAGCTCAAACCGCAGCTGCAAATCACACAACGGTTTCTACGGCCAAGAAACTGGTCCCCGAAACCCTCCTGTTGGGTCCCACTGCAGGACAGGGGTGATGCGGGAGGACGGGGGTGATGCGGGCAGGACAGGGCTGGAAGAGTCACAGGTTTCATCCTGGCCTTCTCTGGGGGACAGGGACCCACTGGGTGCTGGGGGCTTCTCGTGCAGCCCCCTGTGTAGGGTCCGGGAACCCCGCCCCATGCTTTCCCTCCTTGGGGAGCAGCTGCTTCCCAGCTGACACCCCAATGGGCGTGCATTTCACACCCTCTCGGAAGATGTGACCCCCAGACCATGCACCCGGGCCCCTGGGGGCCACACAGTGACTGACCCAGGCCTGTGTGAGGTCAAGGTCAGCGTCCTCAGGTCACTGTCGCCTTTCCAGCCCCTGAAGCCCCTGGAGCAGAACGGCCCAGGGCTGGAGTACAGAGTGGCCTGGCGGCCCCAGGGCGCGCCCGTGGAGTGGGAGGAGGAGACGGTCACCAACCACTCGCTGCGCGTGATGACCTCGGCCGTCTACGCGCCCTACGAGGTCCAGGTCCAGGCCGTGAACCAGCTGGGCGCTGGCCCAGAGCCGCAGGCCGTGACGCTCTACTCGGGGGAAGACTGTGAGTGACGGGCTCAGCGGCCAGGGTGGGCCCGGGTCAGCTCATCCCCGGGGCCCCGGGCTCGGTCTGGCTAACTGACCGCCAGCAGGGTGGGATTGTGCTTCCCCCTGGGTGCAGCCGTCCGCCGCAGAGACGGGATTGGGCCGGGTCCCCCAGATCATGTACCACTGGGCATCCATGGCAGATTTCCCTGGGCACATGCCGGCCAGCTGGCCTGGGGTTGGTTTGGGTGGTCCATGGCTGGAGGTGCTCTGGGCTCCTCCTGACGTCCAGGTGTGAGTCCTGGAGGCTCGGCCCCCATGTGGGATGCAGAGGGCTGGATGCACGGCTCAGTCCTGCCTGGCTCAGTCCCGGGTGGAGGGAGAAGCACGTGGTCAGCTGAACAGGACTGGAGCTGGACAGCCCTCAGGTCACCCCCGGCCCTGAAAACCGTCCTTTGGAAGGACCCCCGGGAGGTGCTGGGCTGATGGCACTCCCCTCACCCATCCCTGCGTGGGTGTGGAGCCCCCTCTGGGCTGACCCGTGTCCCTGGCCTCCTGAGCAGCTGGTGCCGGTGGCTGAGGGTCGTGGGCCTGTCCCGGCCTGAGCTCAGGGAGGCCCTTGGGAGCCCAACTCGGGCAGCGCCTCACCAGTGTCCACTTGGCAGATCCCGACGCGGCGCCCGTTATCCACAGCGTGGACGTGGTCAACAGCACGTTGGCGAGAGTGTCCTGGTCCCCGGTGCCCAAGGACCGCGTGCACGGACAGCTGGAGGGCTACCAGGTGAGCCCCCCTCCCGCGGGCGGCCCCCGGCCCAGGCCCCCGGTGCTGACCGTCCCGGCCCCGCACAGGTCAGCTGGTGGAGGACCAGGAGCCTGCTGGATGGCCGCACGCCCCCCCGGGCAGCGGGCACCCTGAGGTTCCCAGGAGCTCGGACCCACGGCATGGTGCCCGCCCTGGAGCCCTTCAGCGAGTTCCGGCTGACCGTCCTGGCCTACAACGCCAAGGGCCCGGGCCCCGAGAGCGAGCCCTACGTGTTCCAGACCCCCGAGGGAGGTGAGCGGGCACCCGGTGGGGGACGCAGCCCCGGCACGGCCAGACACGCCCCCTGCTGGCCGCCCAGGGCACACGGGGGTGGGGGGCCCACATGGATCCCTAGGGTGGGGCGGTTTGTTCTAGAACTCAGCAGCGTGTGAGCGTTTTGGGCTTCTCTGGGTGTCGCAGTGCCCGAGAAGCCGGCCTTCCTCAAGGTGCTCAAGGTGGACCAAGGCTCCGTCGCGCTCTCCTGGGGGCTCCCCAAGAAGCTGAATGGGAACCTGACGCGCTACGAGCTCCAGTACCAGATAAGTACGTGCGGGGGTCGCGGGGGCACGGGGGCAGGGCTAGGCGTGGGCACGGCCACTCCCCGGGGGCGGCGGCTCCATGGGCAGGTGTCAGCGGTGGCTCCCGCAGCAAGCACAGCCTGGGCACCTGCGTGCCCCCCTCGGCCCTTCCCACTGTCCTCCTGCGGGTGGGCCCGCTCTCCCCAAGAGAGGCAGGACAAGGCCTGAAGGGGACGGCCCAGTGAGGCCCCCAACGGAGGACATGGGCCCAGCCCAGCTCCCGCTGCTGCTGCCCATCCCTGCCTCAGCCTGGCGGGGAGGGGCCGCTCGCGCTCAGAGCTCTGCTCCTCAGAGCAGCGTCACGGGCCTGGCCTGGCCAGAGCCGCCGTGCCCCCGAGTGCCGTGCCTGACCTCTGCTTTCTCCCCAGTCAACGGCTCCTCGGAGGTGGGGGAACTGCGGGGGCTCAACCTCACGGCCCGGCCCGCGCCCCACTGGCGACTCTCGGGCCTCCAGGCGGCCACCAAGTACAAGTTCTACCTGCGGGCATGCACGGCTCGGGGCTGCGGGGCCCCCGCCACGGAGGAGAGCGCCACGCTGGCCGAGGGCGGTGAGTACCGGGCGGGCACGGGGGCCGCCGTGCTGGTCAGTCTGTCCCGCGGTGGGGCTGGGGTTCCTCCCCACGCGCCCACACACGGCGTGCGTCTCCCTCCTGCCCTCCCCACGCACGCACCAATCCCGCCTCGGGGTCTTGGTTGGGGCCGGCCTCCGCCATCAGACACCTGGGTCCCGCCGGGCTCCTCCAGGCTGACTGACTCCTGCCCGAGCCCGTGTGTTCCTCCTGCCGGAACCACGCCCAACAGGGGCAGGGACACGCAGGCTAACGGTCTGCCCACAGGGTGCAGCTCATTCCCTGGGGGAAGGTGAGGCTGTGAAATGAAGGACCCCACCAGGGGTGCCCACCCGGGTCACCACCATCATAGCTGGGTGCGGGAAACCCCGTGTGTCTGCGATCACGCCTGCAGGCGAGGACAGAGAGTCCCGGCTGGCTCACCCGGCTGGGCGTCTTGCGGTCTGGCTTGCCGGGAGATGCCTGTCCTGCCGTGTCTCAGGACGGGCCGCTGAGTCTGAGTGGCTTACGCCGGCTCTGTCTCTAAGTGTCCTGGCTGACGGCAGCCGTCCTCCCATGGCTCTTGTGCCTAGTTGGGTGGGGTGGGGTGGGGGGCCTGGGGTTGTGCCGCTGTATCGGGAGGACCTTGGAGAACAGAAGCGGTGTCACAGCCGCACTGCCGGGGGCAGCTCTCGGGGACTCTGCCCGGAGCTGAGGTCAGCTGGTGTTCGCTCAGAGAAGGGGCTGCACCCGCCTCGTGTGCCCTGCCCTGTCCCCCAGTTCCCAGGTGACCCCCACTCTGACCCACGGGGGTTGCCTGGTGCCGTTCCCTTGGCGTGTCGCTCCCAGTCGTCAGAGCCACTCACTTTGCTCATTTTTTTCAGAAGCTTCGCTACTCGCAATGTTCTCTTAATATTCTGCTCTCGAGGTCAAACGTCACTGTGTCCTGGCTGGCAGGGCTCTGCCTTGGAGGCTGTTCTGCTCGCTTAGAGGAGCTGCCCTCGTTCCTAACACATGCCACTGCCAAGAACCCCTTCCACTTGCAGGATAAATCGTTAACATTTCCTGCTCTTCACTGTGTTAATGTATAGCAGAACCGTGCATCAAATGCAAAAATATTTTAGATCTTCTGTGGAAGATTAGAGACTGTGTATGCTTTTGGGCTGGAGCGATAGCATGGAGGTAGGGCGTTTGCCTTGCACACAGCCAGCATTGCCACCCAAGTTCGATTCCTCCACCCCTCTCATAGAGCCCAGCAAGCTACCGAGAGTATCTTGCCCGCACGGCAAAGCCTGGCAAGCTACCCGTGACATATTTGATATGCCAAACACAGTAACAAGTCTCACAATGTGACTGGGTCTGCTCGAGCAAATCGATGAACAACAGGAGGACAGTGACAGTGTATGCTTTAATTACGGTGGCTCCTTTTTGTCCGCTCCCATTGGCATTTGTGTTTCTGCGTGACGCATCAGCTCCCGGGGGCACCCACAGTCCTAGCGGACGGGTCTGTCGGCTGTCCTGGCCAGCTGCTCCTTTGCAGCTCCACTTCCGGCCATCTCTGGTGTTTCGTCCGTGGCCACGTCACCGTGTTGCCCTGTCAGTGTGGGTGGCGCTGCCCCAGGTCCCGGGAGCAGTGTGGCACAAAGGCGAGGGCCCATGTCCAGCTCCTGTGTGTCCCACAAGTCTCCGCTCGGTTTCGTAGCAGAGGGACGTGGGCAGCTTAACTGGCGACAAGCCCGTAAGCAGGACATGAGCAGAGCCTCTCCGGAGCTTTAGGGAAGGAAAAAAAAATCTTGTGGTGTTGTTTTTTCATCTCCTGATGATTCGAGAACGAATTTCCAAAGAAGTCCCCCTCGCAGTGATTCTGTTGTTCATCTTAACTTAACACTCCTTTTTAACCTTGCGTGCCCTGCTTTGCCTGACTGTGATATCTGTGATTAACTCTGTGCCTTTCTTAGGTAAAAGTATCGGGAAGAGCTCAGAAGGAGTAAATATTACTCAAAAGAGTCACCCAGGAGAGGTATTTGAGCTGGGAGCCGAACACATAGTTCGCCTGTTGCCTAAGAACTGGGTTGATAACAATAGCATTTTTGAAGATGTAATTGAGTCCAGAGGGAGAGGTGAGCAACGGAGTGAGCTGGGGGCTGTGTGCATGGCACGCATCTGTGTCCCGTAGGCTCCTTAGCGCTGCATGCTTCTCCGTGAGAGACACCCAGGAGCACACCCGCCTCCGTGGGAGACTTAATACTGCAAACTCCTCCACAAAAGACAACCAGGAGTGCGTCTCCTCTGTAGACAAATCCTGCACAATCCCCCATGAAATCGTCCAGGAGTACACCTCCTTCTGCAGGACTATTTAATACTGCATTCTTCCCACACAGAAGATACCCGGGGGTATTCCGCCCTCTGTGGGTGATCTAACTTCTCGTGCTTCCTCCACGAGAGATACCCAGGGGTCCATCTCTTACCTAAGCAGAATTCTTAATGCTGCATGCTTCCTGCGCAGAAAATACTCAGGAGTACATCTCCTTCTGCAGACTGTTTAATACTGCATCTCCCTCATGAAAGATACCCAGGAGTCCATCGAGCTCCTTCTGTAGTCTGTTGAATACTGTGTACTCCTCCACAAACGGTACCCAGGAGAACATCTTCAGTAGGCTATTTAATGCTGCATGCTTCCTACACAGAAGGTACCCAGGAGCACATCTCCTTCTCTAGATCGTTTAATACTGCGTACTCCTCTATGAACGGTACCCCGGAGTACATACTGCTCCTTCTGTAGACTGTTGAATACTGTGTACTCCCCCACAAATGGTACCCAGGAGTACATCTTCAGTAGGCGATTGAATGCTGCATGCTTCCAACATGAACAGTATGTAGACGGTGTGCGCTGCACTGCAATGTACCAGCCCCGTTACAGCAAATAAACCTTTTAAAATTCATAAAAAATGTTTTGGAACCCACAACATTCCACGTAGCCATCAGAGTTGCCCCTTAAAAGTATATGAGCATGATTCATTAAAATAAATATGTATAAATAAATAATAAAGTAAAAAAAATGTATGTGCTTATTGCCATGTATCAATAACAAAAACTAAAAAGAAAACCCCCTCCCCATGCCCGAGCCCAGGGCCGCTGCTGCCTCTGCCTGCGCCCCCCTCCTCCTCCTCCTCCGCCTCCTCCTTCTCCTCCTCCTCCTCCCCCACCGGCCGAGCCAGGCAGCCCTTGTGACCTCCTTCTCTCCCCAGAGTACGCCGGCCTGTACGAGGACATCTCCACGCAGGGCTGGTTCATCGGGCTCATGTGCGCCGTGGCCCTGCTCACGCTCACCCTCCTGACCGTGTGCTTCGTGAAGAGGAACCGAGGCGGGAAGTACTCGGGTACAGTGCTCCCTGAGCCACGGCCTCCAAGGCGCAGGGGTGCTGGGTGGTGGGGAGCGTCCACTCGGGCCCAGGGTCCTCAGCACGTGTGCCTCATGAGAGGAGGGGCTGTTGGGCAAGTCGCCAGACGCTCACCTGCTGGCCTGTGCTGAGGCCACCATGCGTCCAAGGTGGGCCCAGAGCAGGAAGGACGTGGACAGCGCGTGACCAGGGACCCGCTAGGTGGGCCTAGAAGGGGCTACAGGTCTCGCCCCTGCCACCAGGCGCCCCTCCCCATCCCTGGCCACTAGGCCCCTGCGGCTGCCACACTCGGGTGGAGAGGTGGTGTCAGAGTGACGGTGGCCTTCCTGGACACAGGACCTGGGAACAGTTTCCGGTCAGGCTCGCCAGATGCCAGAGCCCTCGCGCCCCCTGCTGGAGGCCAGAAAGAAGCTGCTGGGTTGGAAGCTCTGCAGGGAGTAAGACCAGGCCAGGGGACAGGGTGGGGCCAGGCAAGTGACCATGGGCGGAGGGAACGAACACTCGGCATGGGGAAACCTGGAGGGCAGCCTAGAGGTGGCCCAGGAGCGAGAGACGACGCTCAGCAGACCAAGACAGAATGAAGACAGTAAGAACTCGGGTTCCGGGTTCCCCAGGAGTGATGACGGGTGTTCCAGGAGGTGAAGGGAGGGACAGCGAGAGCCACACAAGGACTCATGGCCAAGAGCGTCCCAGCACCAGGGAGGGGCCTGGATGGACGAGTCCATGAACCCACAGACACCACGAGGCTCAGGGCGACACACACATACATGTGTACATGCACACACACACATGCACTCACATGCACACGCACAAACACACGCACATGCACACACATGCACACACATGTACACACATGCATACACACACACAAAGTCTGGGGAAAAGCCCAAAGTGGAGGAGGCTGGCAGGAACACGCAGGCCAGGAGAAGGCGGGATGTTGCGGTTAAACTTCCCTGAGGGGAAAACCGCCAGCCAGGAACTCCTGAAGGCGCCTCTTCCAGCCGTGAGGGAGAAATAAAGGTTCCCGACACTGAAGGAATGCCCCACTACCTCTGAGTAAGGAAGGAAGGAAGGAGGAAGGATAGCAGGAAGAACTGGGGGATGGAAAGGAAGGAAAGACGAAGGGAAAGAAGGGAAGGTGGATGGAAAAAGCATCACGATCACGACCATCCTGTTGTTCGTCGATTGCCTCGAGCAGGCCCCAGTGATGTCTTCTTCGTCCTAACCCTGAAACTTTTTAAAAAAGTGCCATATTCAAGGCTCTCTCAGGGCTAGGAGAATGAGACCCATCGTTGCTACTGGTATTTGGCATATTGGGTACGCCACGGGGAGTTTGCCAGACTCTGCCGTGGGGGCAGGCTACATTCGGTAGCTTGCCAGGTTGTCCAAAGTAGGAATGAGATAATAAGATGTCGTGTGGCTGAAGAAAGCAAAAAAATTAAGGAGGGAAAAAGAGAAAAAACAGAGGACAAGCCTGAGGCGGCAGGTGCAGTGCTGGACCAGGATGACGAGCTGGGACAGGAAACAGGGACCAAGCCCAGGCCAGTGGCCTCAGAGAGGGAGCTGAGGGCCGTATCCATGCTGCAGTGGCCAGCAGCCTCGCCGGGGTCTACAACCTTCCCATGGGGCCCATCACGGGAGGGTGGCTGAGACCTCTCCTTGCTGCACTGGACTCACGAGTGTGTCCTGACGCCCCTCTCCGCTCTGCCCCCAGTGAAGGAGAAGGAGGATCAGCACCCAGACCCCGAGGCCCAGTCGGCCAAGGACGAGACCTTCGGGGAGTACAGGTGGGCTGTGAGGGGGGCCCGGCAGAAGCCGCAGACCTCAAGGGGGCAGGGCTGGGGAGGGCTGGGGGGGCTGGGCAGGGCTAGGGAGGGGCGGGGGACAGGACTGGGGAGGGCTGGGCCCGCAGGGGCAGCACCAGGACTCCTGTGTCCAGGGGTCTGCGTGCGCCGGCCCTTCTGGAGCTCTGTGGGCCCATAGGGTGTGTCTCATGGAAGATCTTTTGGGGTGACCAGCGCGGTGGGGCAGCACATGGTCAGCCGGGTCCCAGCGGCCCCATGAAGGTGGCTCCCTGCGCTGGTCACAGGCTTGGCTGCTTGTGTCCTTGGGAGGGCTACCTTGGGGACTGAGGTGACCCTGGACAGCTGCAGTAGAGTTAGTCAGTCCTGTGGAGTTAGGGAGTGTGTGTGTGGGGGGGGGGGGTGGCCGTCCTGCTGTCCAGGAGGGTCTGCAAAGTTCTGGGCCTCGTGGTACCAAGGCACCTTGCCCCGTGCGCCTCCCCCCATGTCCAGCAGGGGGCGCATGGGGCCTCTGGGTCTGACCACAGAGCCAGGAGACGATGGTTACTCCTGTCTTAAGGGCAGTGGCAGTTTCATTTTCTTCCAGAATCTTCCTTCCATTCCCAGCCGGATAGGGTCAGGGACAGTGGGAGAGAGACAGGGAGGGAGGGGCTGGCCTGGCTGATGCCTGGATGCTCCCGTCGGGCCCCAGGGCACAGGGGAGGGCGAGACGGTCAGGGACGTGGCGTGGACACTTACCCCCGAGGGCCACGTGCACGTCCCTGGCCCGAGGGGCTGCAGGGACGGGTTGGTCGCTGCACTGAGCCCGTGTCCGTCGCCCCGCAGTGACAGCGACGAGAAGCCCCTGAAGGGGAGCACACGCTCGCTGCCCCGGGCCCTGCGCGCAGCCGAGAGCGGGGACAGCTTGGCCGAGTATGGGGACGGCGCCCAGGGCCTGTTCCAGGAGGACGGCTCCTTCATCGGCGCCTACGCCGGCGCCAAGGACAAGGGCTCGGTGGACAGCACGGCCAGCTCCTCGGCCACCTTCCCCCTCCGGGCCTGAGCCGTCCCAGGCACCGGCCTCGGCTCCAGCGCTAGAACTTTCCAGAAGGAACAACCCAGCCGCCTCCGAGCCTCGAGGACTCAGGGCCTGGAGAGCAGACATGGGCTAGTGCCAGGTCTGAGCCCGGACACACCCTTGGCCGGGCACCCGCGGGGCCGCGGTGCCATCCCCGCTGCCCCTGCACAGTCCTGGGCACTGGGTGCCCGTGCGCTGGACCTCGGGAGGGGAGGCCGGCAGGGGTCAGCGCCAGGAGGACGTGTGTGGCTCGGCCAGCCAGGGCCGCCCCCCTGGCCGCGTGGAGTTTGCTGCTGTGGGTCTGCACAGAGATGTTCTTGATCCCGGCAACCGGCCCGAGCGCTCCTCTCCCTCGGGACACTGACTGACGTCGTCCCGGTTCTTCCGCGGCCTGGCTGGTGCTCGGGGAGCGGGGGAGGCTGGCCTGGGTGGCCCGGCCCTGCTGCGCCCATCCCGAGTCCCGGGCCAGCTGCTGGCGTGGGGCGGCCGCTGTGGCCGTGGCCGGGCGGGTGTGGGCAGGCATGCTGTACAGTAGGTTCGGTCGTTTCTTCGTGGCGGGGCACAGGCCCGGGGCCCCTCGTCTTTGTACAAAGTGTTTGGATCTCGTCCTTGCTCTGCCTCCTGCAGCCTTGGGGGGGGGGGGGGCGCCCTCGGCTGCGGGCGGGAATGTTCTCATCGTGTCAAATCCGTGTGTGTCCTTGCAATGGAAGCAGTTGGTGTAGAGTCGGCATGTGGGGCCTCGGAGACAGAGCTGGCCCGGGGGCCGTGGCGGAGGTGGGTCAGCAGGCTTGTGCCTGCACTTGGGACCCCGCGGACGGCCTCTCTGCCAGGGGGCCGCACAGCTGCCTGCACCCCCAGGTGGCCAGGAGCCCTGGGCCAGATGCAGGCCTCGGGGCGTATGGACCGATGGGGCTCCTGAGGAGAGACCCCCGGGCACCAGAGGAAGGTCTGCCCCGCAGGGCACCCACCCTGCCGAGCACCTGAGGGAGAAGGGCTGTCCCTCCCTGAGGTCCCCCAGGTACTGTCCACCCAGGAGGAGCCCTGGGTCAGGGAGGAACTGCCCGTGGCTGCAGGGAGCCCAGCCCTGCCTCGGCCGTCCCAGTGCAGCGGGACCAAGAGGGGGTCCCCTCATGGGTCAGCTGGGTGGGCTCCCTGTCCAGTGCAGCCCAGGCTGGCCAGGCCTGCCCCCGAGGTCCCCTGTCCATCACGACCTCCCCATGCCCCCAGGGCTTCTTTTCCTGTCCTCAGCTGTGGCCTTGGGTCGTGATAGGTCAGGACAGTTCCTGACTGTCCCCATTGCTGGCCCTGGGGTAGCCCTAGAGGGCATCCAAGCAGGGCCCCCAAGTCCCCCCAGTTCCAGAACCCCCACGCCTCAGGGCTGGGCCGAGCTCCTGAGCGGCCCACCCATCCTCACAGGGTCTTCACCGTATGAAGGAAAGTAGAAAACAGTCCGAGAGAAGCTGCCTTTAACTCATCAACAAATCTGCAGTCGAACGATGCCGCCAAATTCCCCACGCGCCAACTCGACCTTTCCCTGTGAGCACATGAATCTATTTTTGTAGAGAAAACAGACCTACAGGACGTAGGGCTGCCCTCCAGGGCAGTGGGGTTTGCACATGCCGTCAGAAATGACCAGAGGGAAGAAAACGAGCAGGGTCTTTGCTATACTCAAGTGTTTTTCACAGATTTTGCATGTGTATTTATAAGACAATGTGGATTCGGTGATTTAGCCCATTGGTACAAAGGCATCTGGTATTTTAGACGTGCCCGTGTTTATAAAAATGTAAAGCACAATGAAATTATGCTGGAAGTCTCAAATGATATTTTTTCCCCTATTTTGTATTCGTGGACGAGAGGAGCTAAAGAGAGGACAATAACGAGAAACGTTGGTGCGTGTTTTTCTAAGCATTTAAAGCATAATTGCCAATTGAAGCCCTAAATATGTTTACATGCATTAAGACATGATTCTTGTAGCAATTTTAAGCTGATGACAAGGGGGTGGGGTTTGTACTTGTGGTTGTGGGTCTCCCGGTGTTCTTGTGGTGGATTGATAGGTTGAACCAAAGCTTCCTTTGTGTTGTCCTAAATGGTTTGATTACATCATCAAAAGAGATAGGTGGTGTGGAAAAGCTCTGTTTACTTGATTCCTTATTTGTTTTTTTTGCTTAGATTAATCTTCATAGTAGGAATCTATTAAACTGTATTTGTCCTGTAGGTGGTGTTTGTATTATGCTTATGAATATGTATGGTTTAAAATATTTTCATTGTACATGAAATTCAACTTTCCAAATAAAGTTTGGCTTCATGTGCCTTCTGTGTTTTGCCGATCCCGGGGTACGGGAGGGAAGACTTGCGTCTCACCTGCGAGTGAAGGTGAGTGTGGGCGGCTGCTGGGGCTGACTGTGTGCCCAGATGCCTTTCAGCACCAGCCACTCTGAGAAGTTCAACGTGGCCATTAATTCTCCGCTGTGGTAAATACTGATGTAAGGAAGATTGTCCCGTTTCTGTGCAGAGCAACAAAAATGGTCAGTGGGCAGCACCTTCGCAAAAGGCCACCAGAGATCTGAGCAATCTCTCTGATGCAGCAGCCCTCAGAGATTGTGATAGAAAAAATGTCTCATGTTCGAAGAGCATCACACTGACACCCTCACACCAACACCTCACACTGACAACCTTTCACCCACATCCTCACATGGACACCCTCACAGGTCACTCACACGCACACCCTCACATTATCAACCTCATACTGATCCCCTAAATACCAACACCCTCACAGAGAAATCCTCACGCCCCCTCACATGGTCACCCTCATGCTGACACCTTCACATGGCCACCTTCACACCAACACCCTAGCGCTGATGTTCTCACACCAACACCCTCACACTGACCCCCTCATGCTGATGCCCTCACACTAGCACACTGATACCCTAACATGATCCCCTAACATCCCTTCTCTTATGCTGACAGCCTTAGCCAATCCACATCCTCATGTGCTCAGCCTGAGACTGACACCCTCACACTGTCACCCTCACACTGATGCCCTCACTCTGATGTCCTCACGTTGTCACCCTCACACCGACACCCTCACACCAACACCTTCACACTGTCACCCTCACATTGACACCCTCACATTGACACCTTCACACCAACACCTTCACACTGACACCTTCACACTGTTACCCCCACACCATCATCCTCACACTGACACCCTCACACCAACACCCTCACTTTCACACTGTCACCCTCACACTGACATCCTCATATTGACATTCTCACACTGACATCCTCACATTGAAACCCTCACATTGTCATCCGTACACTGTTACCCTCACACCATCACCCTCACACCCACACCCTCACACCCATACCCTCACACCCACACCCTCACATTGTCACCCTCACACAGACACCCTCACACCGACACCCTCACTTTGTCACCCTCATACCAACACCCTCACACCGACACCCTCACAATGCCACTTTCACACCGACACCCTCACACTGACACCCTCACACTGACACCTTCACACTCGCACCCTCACACCAACATCCTCATATTGACATTCTTGCACTGACACCCTCACATCGAAACCCTCACACCGTTACCCTCACACCATCACCCTCACACCGACACCCTTACACTGACACCCTCACATCGACGCCCTCACACCAACACCCTCACACTGTCCCCCTCATACTGACCCCCTCACACTGACACCCTCACATTGACACCTTCACACTGTCACCCTCACACCAACACCCTCACACTGTCACCCTCACATTGACACCTTCACACTGTCACCCTCATACCGGCACCCTCACACCGGCACCTTCAGGCTCACACTCACACTCACACCCTCACCCTCAGGTACTCTCCCACAGCCCTGCTCACAGACTGACGCATGCAGGGGCCGGAGTCCAGCCTGGGTTGGAGGGTCTCCCTGCAGAGTGTGTCTGAAGGCCAGGGGGTTGGCATCATCCTCACGCTGTCTCCCCTGAACCCCCACCTTGTCTTGGAAGTGCTAAGAAAAGTGGATTTAGCATAATAATGACGGATTGATCATGGTTAGAAACTTCTGGGTGTGAAGTTGTGTGCTGAGAACACGGCAAGGCTCCAGACCCTCAGGCGTGTGACACAGCTGAAGGCAGGGATTAGCGGATCCAAACACGTGCGCTTCTGATTTGGGGGCCACAGGCAGCAGTGGTCAGGACACAACCAGCATGCTGGGAGGATTCGGTGGTACCAGGGATCAAACCTGGGCTCATGCATGCAGAGGGCAAAGGGCAAAGACAGTAAAGTGCTCTTGCCCTTGGAGGTGCCCCCCACCCTGAACCAGTCATTTACATTTGGGGGCTTGGGGGAGTAACTCCTGTCTCTACACTCAGGAATCACTCCTGGTGGTGCTTGTAGACCCGCAGTCTAAAGGCAAGTCCCCAACCGACCGGTTGCTCTATTGCTGTGGCTCCCCGAACTGTCTTTTCTAAATGAGTCACCGTCACGCCAGCACCCACACTTTCATTTGGGAAGCAAAAAGGGAAAAGAGATCGTGATCAGAACGGGCCTCAGGACAGTGCCGCACAGAACTCCCCACGGAACTGAAGCTAGAGGCAGCCTCAGGATGGAACATCACTGACCAAGACGTGGAAGCAAAGATTAACAAATGGGACTGCATTAAGCCAAGAAGATTCTACCCCTCAAAGGAAATGGCCAGGAATAAGCACTCACAGGATGGGGAAAATTATTTACCCAACACGCGTCTGTTAAGGGGTGAATGTCCAAGATATATGACTTTCTGGTAGAATTTTGACAATGAAAAAAATAACGCCAACAGAAAAGGAGAAGAGGTGAACAGAAAGTTTCTCAAAGAAGAAATACACATGGCCAAAAGTACCTGAAAAAAACTCTCTGCATCACTGATCAAGGGAATGCAAATCAAAATAACCTGGAGATATCATCTCATATCTCGTGCCACAGAGACTGGCACA